GAGTGTGGACAGCTCTGGATGGTAATCAGGAATCTTGGAATCTAGGGCAGGCTGGAGAAAGAAAGAAAGGTTGGGGGCACCGTGTCCTAGGGAGGAGGGGGTACAGGGAGGAGAGAAAGGCCAGCCCCTGGGAGATTCCAGGACACAAGGTCAGGAAGTGGCCACTCAGAACCACCCCTCGGTGGGTACCCAGGTGTACCCTGGCCTTTCAACCTCCCTCCCACTGGCTCACATTTGAAGCCTCCACAGGATGACTTCAATTCATTATTCAGGGCTCTGCTCAGATGACACTACCTCAGAAAGGCCTTCTATGACCAGCAGCCGGTGTGCCCCTCTCCTCCCACCTATAATTGGTCATAGGATTTTAAAAACTTTTTTTTTTTTTTTTTTTTCAAAGGTGTGCTCAACTGAGAGACAGAAAGGGACAGGAAGTGAGAAATCACCCCCAGGGGGAATGGCCACACCGCAATCCCTTCTCCTCCATTCTCCTCTCGGGATCTTGGGCACACACACACACACACACACGCACGCACCTGGCCTGAGTTTAACCCACCAGGTCCCGGACTCAAACCGCCGTTGACTACATGGGAGGCCAGCGACATAGCCATTATGCCAACTGCTGGTTCCCCCAAAAAAATACTCTCTAAAAAATAAAAAATAGCAGGGATTGTGGACTGGCTTGGTGGTGGAGGGACCTCAAACAAGGTTGGACCCACCAGGAAGATGACAGGTTCCGTTCTCCAGGTGTCTGTGCCCATGGTTCTGACTGGCTGGGAGGACTGGGAAGGATCGTGATGGGAGACTTTGTTGAGGGGTGCTTGTCTGTCTCTCATTCTCATGAAAGAAAGAAACAAGGCAGCCCGGGGAGCAGTGGTTGAGGTGGTTGGGACCCCACATGGATAACTGTGTGATTTGAGTCCCAGACCCAGCAGCTTGAAAAACACTCCAGGCATGTGTGCATGCCCAACATTCTGAGAGGAAAAGGGGTTACAGCACGGCCAGCCCTGCTGAGAAGTGCTTTCTCACTTTCCCTCCCTCATCTATCTCCCTCTGGTGAGTATAGGTGCCCTTTAGCAAATTAAAAGAAAGAAAGAAGAGAAACTTAAGAAAACAATGGGCCAGGTTTGTGCCCTGATGGTTAAGGCAGTCTACACGGTCAGTTCTGCTCTTTGACTCCTGGACCCGGCAGCTTGAGAAACATGCTTGTGCCAGTGTGGGTGCCCCAAACCCTAATAGGGTAGGGATAAGGGATTGTAGTGTGACTATTCTCCATGTGAGGTGCTTTTCTTCTCTCTTTCTCTGTCTCTTTGGTGAGCACAAACACCCTGTAGCAAAATAATAATAATAAAATAAAAAGAGCAGGAATTCTGTCTTTTTTTTAAAATAGTTATTTATTGGGAACCAGCAGTTAGCGTAATGGCTATGTCGCTGGACTCCCACGTAGTCGACTGCAGTTCGCGTCCCGAACCCAGTGGCTTAAAACTCACGCCGGGCACGTGTGCATGCGTGCCCAAGATCCCGAGAGGAGAATGGAGGAGAAGGGATTGCGGCGTGACCATCCCCCCTGGGGGGTGATTTCTCGCTTTCTGTCTCTCTGTCTCTCTCTGTCTGGCGAGCGCACGCGCCCTACAGTGAAAATCTCTCCAAAAAAAAAAATTTATTTAATTTTATTTATTCATTTATGCATTTTAAGTTTGGCCAGAGAGGGAGAGACACAGAGAAAGTGAGATAAAGTGAGAAAGCAAGCCGCAAGCCACCAGGTCCGGGACTCAAACCGTGGTCGGCCATGTGGGAGCGTCGAGCGCCTTAACCATTATGCCACCCACTGGTCCCCAGTCTGTCCTTTTTACCACTGCATCCTCAGTGTCTGGAACAGTGCTGGGTACACGGTTGGTGCTTAATAAGTATCCATTGAATGGACATCGCCAGGTGGCCTAGATTGATCCTGAAATTGCTCAGGAAACTGACCTGAATGTGGACTTCCTCTCCAGGCTGAGAACTCGCCTATGAACATGGGTGGCTGGGCGCAAGCAGCTGTACACCCTGTGAGGGCTACAAGGTGGGGCCTGGAATTTGTGTCTTCCACCCCAGACACCCTAGTGAAGCCTCCTGGCCCTGGAGTCATTTAGGTTCTGGATGATCCCTACAGAAGGGGACAGCAGATCTCGTGTGACCCATCTTATTGCCAGATTACTGGCAGGAAAATCCTTATAAGAAACTAGGAGGCTGGGACCAGCAAGTGGTATGACAGTTATGTCACTGGACTCCCACATACTCGAACATAGTTCCAGTCTTGGACCCGGTGGCTTAGAATTCATGCAGGGGGTGTGGGGACCAGCAGTTGGCATAATGGCTATGTTGCTGGATTCCCATGTAGTTGATCGTGGTTTGAGTCTCAGACCCGGTGGCTTAAACTCACGCTGGGTGCATGTGCGTGCGTGCCCAAGATGCCAAGAGGAGAATGGAGGAGAAGGGACTGTGGTGTGGCCACCCCCCTGAAGGGTTATTTCTTGCTTTCTGTCTCTCTGTCTCTCTCTGCCTGACTGATGAGCACATGGGTCCTACGGCAAAAAGCTCTCACTTAAAAAAAAATGTAAAAGAGAGAAACTAGGAGGCTGATTCACCGAGATTCCTTTCCCTGGGGTCTGGAAATGAGGAATAAGTTGACACTTCTTGAGTGGGATGAGGACTGAGAGATGGGGGCTGAAGGCTGGAGCCATGGGGCTCTCAGTCAGGCTGGGAGCCGGGGCTGGGAGACTGGGGCATGAGGGTTTCCCAGGAAGCAGGGGCTGGGGTAGGACACTACCCCAGGGGGGCACCAGGATTCTCCAGAGATCTGGGGGCTGAGGGCTGAGTCACGATATTCTTAAGGGCAGACATATTCCTGAAACTGCCTGTTCTTCCCAGCTGGGACCAGCACAAGCCAATTCTTATTTAATGGAGTAAAGACAAATTCATCTGGGAATGCAGCAAGTGGACCAAGACGAAGACAGATAGAGGCCTTTTTCTCCCTCTGCTTCCTTCTCTTTTTCTTTCTCCACCCCTTTTCCCAGAACCCCTGCCCCCCATCTTTCTATGACCCTCTCACGCCCCCTGCTGCTCCTTCCCTGGGCAGCAGGGGACAGTCCAAGGACCATAGGACCCAGACAACACTCCATCTCTTCCCTTCCTCCTGACCTCTTGGGATCAGCCTCAGAGGCAGGGAAGCTGGAGTCTCGAAGGGTGTAGACACTGGGCAAGGATGTGAACTCCTGTGTTTGGCTGGGACCTCAGCCGAGGAGAGACCTTCTTGATGCCCAGACTAGGTGAAGGGCTCCCAGTCTCCACGGTTTCACAACTCTCTGGCTGCTCTTTTAGGCCACATTTCAGTTTCCAGTTATCGGCCTATTGCTCAGCCTGTCTCCTCTCTCCTACCCCTCTCCCAGGACTGCGAACACCAAGGGAGTAGGAACCAGGGTTGTTTCTGCGCATTGCTACAACTCAGTGCTTGGCGCAGCGCCTGGTCCTCTGCAGGTGCACAGTAAATATTTGTTGAATAAATGAATGAGTGACGCTCAAAGGGGTTTCTTATATGGGGCTGTTTTTTTTTTTTAAGAAAATAATTATTTTGGGACCAGCAGTTGGTCTAATAGCTATGTCGCTGGACTCCCACGTGGTTAACCGTGGTTCGAGTCCTGGACCCGGTGGCTTAAACTCACGCTGGGCAGGTGTGCGTGCATGCCCAAGATCCCGAGAGAATGGAGGAGACGGGATTGTGGTGTGGCCATCCCCCCAGGGGATGATTTCTCGCTTTCTGTGTCTCTGTCTCTCTCTGTCTTTCTGGCAAGTGCGCACTCCCTATAGCAAACTCCTATAATAAAAAAGAGTTATTTTTATTTAACTTTATTTATTATTATCTTTTTTTTTTAACCCGAGAGAGAAAGAGAGGGAAAATGAGAAAGCAAGCCACCAGGTCTGGGACTCGAACCATGATTGGCCATGTGGGAGTCCAGCATCCTCAACCACCATGCCATTTGCTGGCCCCAGATGAGGCTTTTTTTTTTTTAATTCATTTTTCTTTATTCATGATAGAGCATGTGCCAGTTTACAGAACAATGAGAAAGGCAGTGGAGAGGAATATCCCCAACAGGGTCTAGTCATGCCATGATCCCCTTCTTCCAGTCATCTAGCCTGTCAGATCTTGGGCCCCGTGTGCATGCCCAGTGCATCTCTGCCTAACTGGGCCAAGGACTGGAACCACAATTGCCATAGGGGACCCAGCTCCTCTTGAGTAGCGCATTACTGCTACGCCATAGAACCATAAGACAGTGGGACCAGCAGTTAGCATAATGGCTATGTCGCTGGACTCCCATGTAGTCAACTGAGGTTTGAGTCCCAGACCTGGTGGCTTAAACTCACACCAGGCGGATGTGCTGCATGCCCAAGATCCTGAGAGGAGAATGGAGGAGAAGGGATTGTGGCGTGGCTATTCCCCTGGGGGGTGATTTCTTGCTTTCTGTCTCTCTGTCTCTCTCTTTTAAAAAAATACTTATTTAAGTTTATTTATTTATTCATTTTTAATTTGACCAGACACACACACACACACACACACACACACA